AATGTTGACTTGACATGAAAATCTTACATATTGCTACTTTAACATTGAGGTCTATGAGGAAATCTCCCATACAGCCATGTGAATTTAAGCCTCCTTGTCCTAGCTGCAGATACATTTAAGCTAGCAATACCTCGCCCAATAATATAACACATCAATGGAAACGGATCGAGGTGGATATTGTTAAGTACATGCATTGTGAAAAATGATGGCCCATTCTTCTCAAAAAAGTAATTCCAAGGATTAGGGTTAGGGTTAGAATTTACATTTTAGTTTGCAGAGTCAGAGTCTGGTAAAAGATCTTTCATCTGATATTGACATTTTTGGTTAACCTCTTGCAATTAATAGAGAGAAGAGAAGATAATTGTATCACCTAATTTACATCTTTCAATAATATTTAGAACAGGTATTAAGATAAAGATGGTTAAAAGCTGTTGAAAATTATGAATTGTGAAAAAAACCTAAAAAACAGTTTTGTTATTAGCTTCAAAATCAAACATGAAATGAAATTAAGTGAAAAAACCATATAATTCTGACGGGGCAAGTTTTTTGCCAAACGCAAAAAAATGTATGCTGAACTCAAGTTGTGGAATACACTTTTTTAAAGGGCAAAATATACATTATTTCTGGTTATTTTGGCCCTACAACAACAAGACATTTGCTTTAGATTTTTATGGGTTAGAAAAGAAGAAAAGTTTTGACGGGGCAATAAACGCATTCCACAGTTCACCTCCGCTGACATTTCGCTTCTGCTCACTTCATTTGCTGGACGCTGCCTCTTCCCCCATTAACCCCCTTTGAAGACCCCGTCCCTTTGAATAGCCCCATAGTGTTGCGTGTTTACCGGCCGGATTACGGAGGGCTGTCATAACGGGCTAATCTGCGGCCTGTGCGCTGCTGTGTCTGTGCGCATTGGGGTGCAAAAGTTCAAATATCGGCGCAGGCTGTAACCTCTTCACGCCAAAAGGGTAATCACAATGTCAATCCTTTCAAAGCTACTCCCAGAGGACCCCCGCCTCACTCCGCTGCTGTTTACAGAGGGCGCCGCGCGAGAGCCGCAGGAGATGAGCCTGAAAAGAAAGCGCTGAGTTCTTCAGAGCAGCTCGGATCAAGGGCAGAGCAGGAGAAAAGGCTGTGTTTATCGCTGCATGGCGGGAGGCATGGGCGTAAGAGTTGATTCAAAGCACGTCTGTGGGCAGAAATTGTTAAGCGTCGTTTCACAAATGCGATTTACAACGGAATTGTCATAGGATCAATGTGAAAATGTGTTGTGTTGTACTTTGGCTGGTTTAGTTTTGAATGCACTGGAAATGGCAGCAAGTCCTAAGTAGCTCTGAAATGGTTTTTGTTTTGTGCTTAACAATTTTTTTTTTTTTTTTTTGCTCTTCTCTACCTGAGATGTTGCTGCAGTAGTGTTCATGGTTTTGCACTGGTCCAGACCAGAGCAGAGAGGATTCATGGTCCGAACCAAGCGGATCAGCTGAAAAATGCTAACAAGCGTCTCACTTTGGACAAGAGCAGAGAAAATGGTCCGAACCAAGCGCTTGCTCCACCTCTGCTGCTCTGACCTAAAGTGCTGTTGCATTTTAATACTATTGTTAGCTATTTTCAGAATGATCTATGTATTAGTTTTGTTTTGTATGAATTTGTTTTTGCTGCCACTGGACACCTGAATTTCTCCTTTGGGGGATCAATAAAGTGTCCAATGGTCTCTCCCCTCCGTACTTGTCCAGCAGATCATTGAGGTCCTCATCTCAACTCCTCCTGGAAAGTACCTAGGACCAGGTCCAAACAGAGACCGGTCCTTCTCATTCGCTGGACCCAGACTCTGAAACAAGCTGCTCCCTGATATGCGTGTCCTCATTGATTTTGTCCTTTTAAAATTCGGACTGGCTTTTAACATTTTTAATACTCATAAGCACGGTGACACTTTTTTATAATGCTTTTAAAACGTTTTATTATTTTAATGCATAAATGTTTTAATGGATTTTATGTGATTGTATTGTGAAGCACTTTGGTCGGCTTGAGTGTTGTAAAGGGCTTTAAAAAATAAAATAAAAATAAGATTGATTGATCTATCTATCTATAGAATTACAGATTTGGCATTAATTTAAAAATGTGATCATATCCATAATTTCATTTCTACTTTTACACTACTACTAAAAACACATACAGTACAAATACAATATCTGAGGCCAGGACTCAAATCATAAACGTCTACGGGACTATCCTTGTTAAATATGGGACCAAGGAGCAATAACAATAACAGTGAAATCCATATGTAATAAATAAAAGTTTATAGATTTTTTAAGTCCATGGACAAAAGCATAGGATGAACGAATACAAGCGGTTATACAAAGGTGTAGGCTAAATTAATTTGGTGTATCAAGAGAACATATATTGAGTTGTAGCTGTCTGAGGGGAATGTTCATGTTTGTGTTTTCTGATTGAACATAATGTATGTGTAGTCTGTTGTTTTGGACAGAGATGAGACATTATGAATCACATGGCCTCTTCTAGCTGGGGCCCACTTTCCTTACAGTGCCTTGCGAAAGTATTCGGCCCCTTGAACCTTTCAACATGTCGCTACATTTCAGGCTTCAAACATAAAGATATACAATTTTAATTTCTTGTCATGAATCAACAACAAGTGGGACACAATCGTGAAGTGGAACGAAATGTATGGGATAATTTAAACTTTTTTAACAAATAAACTGAAAAGTGGGGCGTGCAATATTATTCTGCCCCTTTACTTTCAGTGCAGCAAACTCACTCCAGAAGTTCAGTGAGGATCTTTGAATGATCCAATGTTGTCCTAAATGACTGATGATGATAAATAGAATGCACCTGTGTGTAAGGCCCATGATCACTCTGGATGATCACTCTGGACAACATTGGATCATTCAAAGATCCTCACTGAACTTCTGGAGTGAGTTTGCTGCACTGAAAGTAAAGGGGCCGAATGATATTGCACGCCCCACTTTTCAGTTTTTTATATGTTAAAAAAGTTTAAATTATCCAATAAATTTCGTTCCACTTCACGATTGTGTCCCACTTGTTGTTGATTCATGACACAAAATTAAAATTTTATATCTTGATGTTTGAAGCCTGAAATGTGGCGAAATGTTGAAAGGTTGAAGGGGGCCGAATACTTTCGCAAGACACTGCATATGGTAATTTGTTCCGATGGGGTTAACTTCACTCCCAAACAAGGACAGACATGTTTTTAAGATTGTTGCAAAGGCAAGCTGGAGATTGTTCAAACTTTATTGTGCTCATATCTGAATTAACTAATACAAAATGAAGATGCCGGTATCATAGAGAGCACTAAACCAGCGATGACAAAACGTTCAAGGTGTATTAGAACTTTCAATTCTGACTAACTCTACATGCTACTGGACGACATACATGCAACTTATTTTCGGAACATGAGAGTGGATTGATGACAGGTGATGTTGACATTTCAGGAGCGCAACATTTGAGTTCTTGAAAGTTTCTATCGTTAGCATTTCTTAGACTTTTGATAGTTAGTCCAATGACAGTGCTCCAAATCGGCAGCTCAGAACTTCCCTAACCCTATCCCCACAGTTACCCAAACCACAAGCAATGTTTATTTCTGAATGCAGACTTTTACATGTCTGTACACATAATCCTTTGTGCATTAGCTCTTGTCTGCCTCTTCACAAATCACTCGTCTGCTAACAAATCTCTACTGCAGGCATTGAACGTGGCCCAAAACTGTCAACAATTAAACTCACCTATTTTCACTTTGGCACGCATCAGCTTTGTGCTCTCAGCAAACGGCCCCATGGGAAATATTTCTAGGGAAAAGTCCTCCAGATGATTGACATGCTAATCAGGATTTCTGTATTAAAAGGCGTAAATGTTGTTGTGAGTAGATTAGGTACAAAACCACAGAGGATCAGTCCTCTTCAAATCAAGCTGCAACAAGAAATGCGGAATGAAAGAAGACGCCAAATGATTCTGTCTGCCACACGTTTTATTAAGAGGGCGACTTTAGTTCCGCAAAATTGTCCAGGGGCCAACTAGAGGGATCGACTGGATTCTGGCTGCATATGAGCTTTAAAATTGGATGTGTCTATATTGGTTCCCATTTGATGGAGCACAAGTTGACTCCAAATGTTTAAGTCTTAAAATATTCTTCTAACCGCTAATTTACACAGGAGGAGGTAAAGCACATACACGTTATATGCACAGTAGACACGCGTAACATTTTTCCATGTTAACCAATGGTGATATTTACACTACTAGTCTTATACGCGCGTATGACGGACGTATGACGGACGTATGACGTGAGGCTGCGCCTAATTTAAGATGGATTTCAAATGTTGTGCGCGCAGGAAAGCGTCTCCCATTAAAAACACATTTGAAACATGATTTTTATAGTGACCCTTGGCTTTAGATCGCATCTACACACACACAGCACCTGTATCTAAACATTAGCAGGAGGAGCAGCAGGTTTTACAGTTATTCTGGACATCGTTTTTTTTTTACTTTCATAAAGCCAAACCAGCGCACAGAGACCGTGAAGACATGCATTTGATTTGTGTTGCTCTACATGTTGCTCCACATCAGTGTGTTGCTCTACATCAGTCCTCTGGCCCGTACTGTCCTCTACACTTCTCCTTAGACTACACAGGGAGAGCATCAGAAGCCGCGGACCTTCGTACGGGCTGTTAACGCCTACAGCGTAAATTCCCTGTAATAGGACAAAAGTGTAATGAAGCTAGTACTGCTTAATTTTCCTGACATGTTTCGTCAGTAGATTGGAAAGATCTGTTAGGCTGACCTTGTGGTCTCTGGAGTAGTGAGTGCCAAGTGTGAGACAAGGTCAAAGCCCCCTCATCTCTGTTGATGGTCTGTGCACCCCGCTTCTTGATTTTATTTTCCTCTTGCATTCATCTTTTGTATTTTCTAAGATTGTGAAAGCATGGTATGCAGCCACAGCAGCAGGAGTTTATGCGTGTGCTTTTGTGTTTCAGACCTGGTCCATGGTGGCACCGTGTCCATGCTCTTGGGGCCTTCAGATGGGCTGCACTCCCACACTTTATACCTGGATGAAGAGAGGGGCCGACTGCTGGTAGGGGCCCGTGACCACATCTACCTGCTGGACCCCGACAGTCCCCAGAAGGCCCCTAAGAAGGTACAGCACATTAAATACAGCCTTTTGGTGGAGCCCAATGAGGCATGGCTTTTATCTTACAAGTATGCAATAGTTAATGTATATGATTCAATAATTGCTACAGGGGACAGATTTGGAGCTCGGAATCCAAATGTACTTTCTCCTAATGTGCTTTTGGACACTTGAGGGACCTCCATTCTTCCCTTCAACACTCTTCTACCACTCAGACCATAATCACACACTCAGTCTATGTTTGAGAGGTATTGGACAAGACCGTTCTGTTGTGGTTACTGAAGCTAATCACCACAAGTGTGACGGAATAAGTGCTTCAAGTGTCTCGAAGAACTGTGGTCTGTGTTTACATGGTTGCATGCGGTCACACTGGCCGGAGGATTACCAGAATAATTTGCATTCTTTAACTGTAGTGGAGGCCATGATTAGATCATCTCAAGGGATGCAATTATTTAGATGGTTGTATTTATTTTATTACCTCTGTAATCTGCATATTCTGTAGTTTAGAACTTTGAAAATATTGTGCTTTGTAATTTTCATTATATAGTGTAGCAGTATTCCCCCCTTTTTATCCTTATAGATTCTACACAAATAGGTTCTACATACAGTACAGACCAAAAGTTTGGACACACCTTCTCATTCAATTAGTTTTTTATTTTCATGATTATGAAAATTGTAGATTCACACTGAAGGCATCAAATCTACGAATTAACTCATGTGGAATTATGTACGTACTAAAAAAAAAAAAACTAAAAAACTGTCTTATATTCTGGGTTCTTCAAAGTAGCACCTTTTGCTCTGATTACTGCTTCGCACACTCTTGGCATTCTTTTGATGAGCTTCAAGAGGTAGTGACCTGAAATGGAGTTCCCACAGATGCTTAGCACTTTTGCCTTCACTCTGTAGTCCAGCCCCAAAACCATTTAGACTGGGTTCAGGTCCGGTGACTGTGGAGGCCGGGTCATCTGGCCCAGCACCACCACTCTCCTTATTGGTCAAATAGCCCTTACACAGCCTGGTGTGGATCTTCAGTCACTAGTCATGAAAAGAAAGGACACTCATTGAATGAGAAAGTGTGTCCAAACTTTTAGTCTGTACTGTATATGAACGTCTGATCCTGTCAGATCTCTGAGCTGGGCAGGTCTAAGTCAAGACACTTCACCCACATTGCCTTTATGCGTCTGATGTGTGTGAATGATCTGGGGCCAATGGCTGATTGGCAGCCTCACTTCCGTCAGTCTGCCCCAGGGAAGCTGTGGCTACAGTAGTTTATCAAGTTTATCATTACTGTGTACGGGGTGAATTAATAATTGCGTTGAGAAGCATGTTGTAATCAGAGTTGGGGAAGTGTCGATTTGTATTCAAAACTTTTTTTCTTCAAATATAAAAAGACCACACATGATTTAATCAGCTTTTACGCATATTATAACATGTTTTTTATTTAACATTATTAATCATTTTTTAGGGGCGACAGTAGCTCAGTTGGTAGAGCATTGGCCTTAAGGCCAGAAGGTCGTGGGTTCATTTCCCACCTCTACACCTTCTCCACCGACTCCCACTGTTGACTGCTGTCGTTGTGTCCTTGGGCAAGACACTTAACCCCACTTTGCCCAAAGCCCCCACTGAAAGATCAAGGCTATGCTCACAGTCAGAGAGCAGCCGTCCTCCTGTGGACTCACCACCTGCAGAGGGTCAGTGAGGGGCTGGTGCTATGAGACTTGGGTGGCATCTCTGACTGCCACCCCCCTGACCCAGAAATGGATTAAAGGGTAGAAAATGGATGGATGGATTATTAATCATTTATTTTAATGGTCCCTTTTCAAAAAGTTGTTTTACTAATACCAAAAAATTCTGGCACAATTGTTACAAACTCCACAAACAAGACTTTATGTTGGGACAAACTAAATGTATTTATGAAACAAAATAAAATGTTGCAAATCCCAGCTTTAAATGTATATAAAATCAAATAATTTCTTCTTTAAAGTTGACAGGCAAAAAGTGGCAACCCTGGGGGAATCCACTTTGGGAAATAGAAGTTGACATAAAGTTTTACAATTAACAGCCTTTTTTTTTCCTGCCACTAGCAATTTAAAAGAATTCATACATTAAATACATACACAGGACCAGGGTGAGGTGTTTCATATCGTAGCTGGAACAGAAGTCTCCGCCCGCCCCCTATAACCCTGGGGCCCATTCAGGTCTGGACATGGTTTCTGCCCGGCCCACACCAGCTCAGCTCATAAAAACATGTGCTTTTCACCGGCTGTAAATCACTTCTGACACCACCTCTCTACCTGCGACGCATCAGCCTTTCTAATTGGACGATTTAGACAAGAATGCACCGCTATGTCTATCGTGTAAAGGTCACGGATCAGTCAGAAGTGAGTGTGTGTGCTGGAAATCGAAAAAGGTCTCTCCATCTTCACAACTTGATATGGCATGTAAAATGTAATTTTAAAGCAAATTTCTTTGGAAATCAACCCTCCATCAATTTTATTCTATTTTTTCTGTTGCTGCATCACAGAGGCAGATCATTTACGTTTTTAACGCGTTAACGCAAATCAATATCAACGCCTTTTTTATTGCGCGATTAATTTGTGTGACTTACCTACTGAACTTTTTTTTTTGCTTTGGCCACTAATAATAGCGATAGAAAAACTACAAGAGCCCCCCTTCCGTGAGTGCTGGGTTTGTGTTTGGATTGTGTTTTTCCCAGTCTTGCAACAAATTGATAGGAACTTCTGTTTTGATCCTGTAGAAAGGGTCGTTGAAGGGGCTTTTTTGTTGCCAATTATACAGTACATGTTATACTGTATGACATTTTGCATCAAGTGTGAGAGTGAAATATAACATTTATTTTGTTATTTTTTTATTTCGAACCTGCACAATACATATTTTTACATATATCCATATAACAGACAAATAACCCGTACCTGGTTCGAAAAGGAGTTGGATGAAGTAAGTGCTTATTTGGTTCCAGCCCCATCAGACAAAGTGTTTAACGATATCATGAAGTAGAATTCTCCAACATACGATGGTACATTACAAACAGTTATACAATACTACCACTGATGGTATAAGACAGACAACACTAAACACACACACACACACACAGGCCCAAACACTCTCCGACCCTACACCTCTCTCCCACTACTTGCTCTGTGCTCACGGCATCACTCTCTTACTTCCACATATTTGTTCAATAAATCTTTTTTTTAACATTCTTTTCAATGTGATCAGGTTTGAGCAGGTCTTTAATTCATCTGATAAACACTACACATTTTCAATAAAAAAACAATTGCACACTGTAAGCCGATTCACTCTTCAACGTTGATAATAGTTTTAAAATTATAATTCAAGGGACATCGCGATTAATCACATGAACGTCATAGTTATGTATTTACTCAATAATAATCATGAAGTGGTGACATCCCAAGTGAAAAGATGCCCAGCTTTGCCCTTTGCCTGAAAGTGGAAAAGCAGTGTGTGATCGCAGCTCCGTCCTCAAACAAACAGACACATGTGAAGTTTGTGATTGCAGCTGAGTCTGATGCTCCGGCGGGACAAGAGGCGTGATTACCCGATCTCCATCTGCTTGTTTAAACTTTGTGAATGTTGCCTTTCCCTCGTCTGCTCTGGACACCGATCCTGATGGCCGGCTGATAAGGCCCGATCGGCTCGTTTGGGACCCACTGAGCTGGACGTAGACACAACACAATATTTATGCGAGCTGTTTGCTTAGACGGATTATCAGATTGTTTTAAAAGGATAGTTTGTTTGTGTGTGGAGTTTAAGTGGTGACCTTACGAGTGCAGTCTGGACAGGTCACATGTTGGTGATGTTATTAAGGAGACATATGATTAAGTGTTTGTCAGTATCATATGACAATTACGATGCTTTGCCTATGTAATGTTTTAGAATGTGTAATGATTTAAAGCTGGGGTACTGAACATTCAAACCATAAAACACGTCTCGATACAGACAACATGGTTTGGTGCTGCCTGTCTTGACAGTATGTTGTGGTCTGATTAGTTCACAGAATGTAACTTTTGAAACACTTTTTTTTTGGACAATCCATATGTTTTTTTGACACATGTTGGGGTGGAATCTTGGGGGTAGCAGAAATTTAAAGCTGATGTTGCATCTGAGCAGAGCTTGAAATTACAGTCACATAAAGGGGCAGAGAGATGAGTGTGCTGACTCCTTTAAAACATTGTTTTAGATCCAAATGGGGTTTCATGAACGCAGATGGCTGCCCAAAAGAAATACTCTAGTGTAAGTAACATTTTGTGAGCAAATCAGATGCCACATGCTCTATTCATCTTATTAGAAAACACATTTTCTTTTACATGCTGAGAGCTGATTGAATTAGGGTGGTCCTCTCTTTTTCAGAAAAAAAATAAAAACTTTTGTAAACTGGAGAAATGCTACAACCAGAATTGTCCTGGCTGGTTCTGCCGTTGGAGCAAGTTTTTAACAACTTATTTGTAGTTGACTATACTTAAATGGCTTCAATATAGCAAACACAAAATTTGTGTCACAAATTTTACTTTGTGACACAAAGTAAAATTGATTTAGTTACAAAAGTATTTTAACCTAGTTACATACATAGAAAGCTCCTCCTAATGATATCACATGTGCACTCACACTGAGCTCATTCAAAACTGATAAGAAGACCATAAAGAATTTTCAATATCAATTTATTTTTCTAAATATGTAGTACAATAGAAATCTCAACTTTGATTCCCAATGATGTCACCTGCATTTAAAAGCGAGATCCGGTCACACCTCTGAAGCTAAGCAAGCCAAGGCCTGGTTAGTACTGTGATGGGAGACCTGTGGTTTCACCAGGTGCCACAGTGGGGCGCTGCAGCTTTAAACTGCCAAACTATTGTTGTGTCCTTAGGCAAGAACATAGAATGAGTCTGGTGTGTGTGTGGTTGATGGTGCCTCACTTGTTCCAGTGTGTTCCAGGGCATCTGTGGCTACAGTAGTACTTTATCACCACAGTGTAGGAGTGAATCAATGATGCCAACTATAAAACTGGTGCATTATTATTATTATTAATTAGCTATAATGATCTTTACAGAGCCATGGGTGTGAGAGATTACCACTATATTCCAGACAAAAACATGTAATGTCTCCTTTTGCATGGCTCCAAACTCGTCGCGGCCTTATATGGACACATCACGCTTCTCACATCTGCCTTCAGTCCGGAACCATCTTTTTCCAGTTGACATTTCACCTGCAGTAATGTTTAGAGCTGATGATTCCCGCGTGGGATCCGCTCTGATCCCCCTCACACGGCGCTTACTGTACTTCGGCCTGTGTTTCTGTGCCGTTTCACCCGCGGCATGCACCGGTTCTGAGTCCTACAGTGGGTCATGTGTGTCCGGGCTCCGCTGACCCGTGTTGCCCTTGGGCGATGGCTCCGCACCGGGCTTTAGGTGGAAGTCACGCCCTAAGACTATAAGCCAGTTAGTGCACATGTATGAGCATGATCAGTGGGAGGATTCGGGCTCTATACAGTGTTTACGCGGTATATGTAATGCTGCAGAGTTATAGAGAGAATCATGTGGTTCTTAGCTCTGTTTGAAGTAAGACATATTGAAAAATAGATTGCACTGAAGAATAAAAAACATGTGCAAACCTGATTCAATTTAAAATATGAGTAAAAAGTAGAAGTACATCGGAGAGAGGTGATGGAATATATGAAGGGTCATGTTATTCAGATTAATTTTATTTGCCATTTGCAGTAAAACCACATTGGAATACATTTACAAAAGTCCCCAGTGTGCACAAGACACAAAACAGATAGTGCATAACAGAGATGTTGCTGTTAGGGTGGTCAGAGAGTTTTTGAACCTGTGTGTGTGTGTGTGTGTGTGTGTGTGCATGTGTGTTTGTGTTGAATGAGTAAGAGCAGTTGAAGCCAAATAAGTGGTTATTCATTGAACTATTCTGTTATCCTGTTTTTTTGTTGTTGTATGTGTTTACAGGATTAAAATAATTTTTCAATACTGTTTTCAATGAAGCCAGATAATTAAAAATAAATAGTGCGGTTTACATAACTATCCACACAATGTATACAGGACACAATCAAAATCGGTACACCCAGCAAAACCAAAAGTCACCCAACTGTTCTTTGTGCCTGCTCTCCAATTTTAACTTGAATCATGATACAAGCTAATATACTAATTAGCTTGTATCATGTAAGCTAATTACTAAAGTATAGTAATTGTGTGTCTCCAGATCCAGTGGCCAGCCTCCAGGGAGCGCATGGACGTGTGCAGACAGGCTGGCAAACACCCAACTGTAAGTCTGAAAAGAGATAGACACTTTGATACTTCATGACTGTACTGTACATTCCATTGAAGTTTGACTTTTATTGTGATTTCAGTTGGAGTGTGCCAACTATGTCCGCGTCCTACACAACTACAACCACACACACCTGTACGCGTGCGGGACGGGAGCCTTCCACCCGGTGTGCGCCTACCTCCGCCTCACGGGACATGCACAGGTGAGCGACGATGGAAGTTACATTGATACGCTACGTTCAATGAAAGAAATATGTGGAGAAGAGAGAGTGATGCTTCAGCACAGAGGGGGTAGTGGGGGGAGAGGTGTAGGGTCGTAGAGTGTTTGGGCCTGTGTCTTGTCTGATTTTGGTGTGTGTGTGTTGTCTTATACCACAAGTTTTCCTACATTTAAAAAAAATAAGTCAGCTACCAATTGTGGAAGTCCCCCCACCTATGAAGATGAGAGATGCCTGCAATTCTCATCAACTATGAGAGACAAAATGAGAAAAGAAATCCTGATTGAATGCTTATTTAGATCTGATTTTTTCAAGAATTTATTCACAAATTACGGTGGAATATAAGTATTTAGTTAATAACAAATGTCTATCTCAATACTTTGTACTTTGTTGGCAATGACAGAGGTAAAACATTTTCCATAAGTCTTCACAAGATTTTCAGTCACTGTTGTTGGTATTTTGGCCCATTCCTCCATGTAGATCTCTTCTAGAGCAGAAAGGTTTGGGGATGTTTCTCAGCAACACAAGCTTTCAACTCAAGTAAAATCCTGTGAAAATCAACACAAAGATTTTTTTATCTGGATGGGGATGAAAACATCATGCTGTCATTGCTTTGATTATCCTAAAAAAAAAAAAAAAATACAACTAAACAAATAAACATAGACATTTACTGATATACTAACAAAACAATCCATTTCAAAATATGTTGAGGTCAAATCTGTGTTATTTTACTGTCACAATCTTTTGCAATGAAAATGAATACCGGTGATTGTTTTGCAGTTTAGGAGTGATCTTGAGGCGTTACTAATGTTTGCGTGTGTGTGTTGTGGTCAGGACGGAGTGTTCCAGCTGCTGCAGGACACAGAGGAGTCTGGACGACTGAAGTGTCCGTTTGACCCGGCTCAGCCCTTCACCTCTGTGCTCACAGGTCCACACCACGCCCCTCTCTCACATAGCCACAAGTTCATATACACTGCAAAAAGGACATGATTATGTTACTGTTAAAGCTGAGGCACCTTTCATAAATGATACATGTTGTTTGCTACAACAGATACTTTTGGAAACATTTAATGTTGTTCAATAAACAGACCACAATATTGTGCCTCCATATTATTAGAAAACATGTTATCTTTTGTCTTTGCATATTTAGAAATCATTTCTTTGAAGAAATGACCCTAGTGAGTCACTCTGAGAACTGATCTTCTGTGTGAGGGTAGGGTAAATAATGATAGTAATATAGCTTTATTTTGAATACACAAGGTTCAATACATTAAAAAGACATCAGGAACACAAAAACGTAAAAATACAGACACCAGACACGATCAAAACACATGCATGTGAAAACTAGTGATTCAGCCAGGAACCCATTTCAAAGTAAAGATCGGCATCTTCAAATGTTTTTTATTTTTCAAGTATTGCATATTTTTAACCATAAAGTAACTATATCACCTAAAGTAAGATGTGTTCTTACTCAATATTGTTATAGTCTTGGCATCACCACCATCAGATTAGTGGAGGAGAGCAGTTGGGCCAATTGCAGAGGCTCTCGTCTGTGTATTAAGAAATTTATTCTGTCCAATCAGAAAGAAATGAGGGTGAGAATGGGCGGGTCCAACTGACGCTGGTTTTGGTAAAACATTATTTGTCTTCCCAATTGAAAAAAGTTACTGACATTGACTTTTATACACAGTCCAATGTATTGTTCAATGTTCAGTACCCCAGCTTTGATTTCACATACTTAATACTCACAGTATTCTTTGTGGAAATCAATACAAAAATGTATACACGTTGTAGCCCTGGGCAGATGAAAATAATGCAGGCGCATACGTATGTGTTACAGATCAGTTCCTGTACTCGGGCGCGTCCTCAGACTTCCTGGGTAAAGATGCTTCGTTCACCCGCTCGCTGGGCCCTGCTCCGGACCAGTCTGTGATCCGCACCGAGGTCTCCCAGGACTACTGGATCAACGGTACACGCACACCCCACCCACACCCCACCCACACCCCACCCACACCCCACCCAGGCCTACTGATCAAAAGTAAACACGCACGCACACGTATACAATACATACACATACATACATACACATACACTCATGTGCACGCTCACAAACAGGCATACATAATACACGCTCACACAAATACATGAACACATACATACACAAACACACACACACCTACACACTGTACATACATGGACACGGTCACACACACAGGAAGACACAAATGGACACTCACTTTCTTGTTTCATTGACCCATTCCAAGTGGATTGATAATGGGTGTAACCAATGGGTTTGAATGGTATCGGTGGGAACAAAGCAGCCTCCGTGCTCACACAAGCAGGTCTGGAGCTGATTTACGGACTATAAACCGTGCGAAACACCTCTGGAATGATGTGACGGATCTGAGAAATGTGATATAGTATGATTTTTGTGAGCGCTGATGGAAAAGAAGAATGTAAAGGATTGTTTTGATGCTGGTAAACACTGCTGTGGTATGGATTAAAGGTCAGAAAAGTTAAAGAAATGTGATGCATTGTTTATGGCCCTTAAACACAATGTTGATCATGTTTACTTTGGTATTTCATTTTTTGAAAGTAGAAAACATATGGATAAAAGTCTACCATAGTTTATGGTTACATCCTGGTGTTAGAAGCAGGAAATTACAACCTGGAAGTTTCCGTCCCAATCAGAACATCCTGTATTACAGATATGTGGTTTAAAAGACATAATTTCACCTGAGAAAGTGCAAAAAGTCACTTGGAGGCACGGCTCTGAACATGTCGTAATAGTGGAAAGCCTTCAGCCCTTCAAACACCTCATCACCTCTGCAGTGTGTGGGAAGCGCATTCATGAAGCATGCGTTAAGTGAGTTCAGTGGAACCCACACCTTGACCAGCGAATCCGAAACTTCAGGTCAGGTGATTTTGTCCTCTTCTCTTTCCCTCCCAGGTGTGATGTCAATTTCGTATGGCCAAAATCCATACAATTGTATCGCAAGTTTTCCCTCTCTTGGGCGGCACGGTTTCTGAGTGGATAGCACTCTCGCTTCTCAGCAAGAAGGTCCTGGGTTCGAATCGCTGTCGGAACAGGGCCTCTGAGTGGAGTTTGCATGTTTTCGTGTCTGCGTAGGTTTCCTCTGGGTGCTCCGGTTTCCCCTACCACTAAAAACATGCACAATAGGTCTGGCATGCGCCTTCTGTACTGGCGACCCCGCTCCCATCTCTGTGTGGAGTGAGAGTTATTTTTGCCCAAAAAATAACCATTGTAAACCGCTCTGTGACTCTGGTCTGTGGAAGGCGGTATATAAATAAAGATTACTTACTTACTTACTCTCTGTAAATGAGACAAAAAGGCAATGTGTGTCCTTTGAGTGACATGCAGTCTCATGTACCTGCCTGTATGCTCTGACGAACATCCCCGGTGCGTTTGAACATGCTTTGAGTATTGCCACAACAGTGCGTGTGTCCGGGCAGCCCTCACATTCATTGATAAAAACGTATTTGATTAACACACCTACTGGGCACACTTACATCAGGCCATTACCTCAAGGCGTCAACACAGCACTGACATAGCTGCAGATTTTAAAAGATTTGTGACAAAACAATAAGGAGTGGTCCCTCGGTAATACGCGGTTCACCATTTTTGGCCTGATGGATTTTTGTTTGTCCTTGTGTGTCCAGTCTTGCGCCAGTATCCATGGCTTTTGACAGCGTTCATACTTAAGCAGTTGTGAGTTCAGGTGGCTAGAAAAAAAATTGTGTGGTGAGGGGTTTTATAGCCCCTCCTAAGCTATACCCAATTCTGCAAAAAAAAATATGAATAAAAATCCAGTTTGAATGTTTAGCACCGCACCCGTACTCGCTCACAGGCTTCTAATTTTGAGAAACCCTCCTCCTCTCCCCTACGCTCTCCTCCCACAGTGCCATCTAGTTTTAGTAGCTATCTGATACGTATGCAAACTTTAGCATTAGCACAACTTCTCGTAAGTTGCACAACAATCACTGATGAAATGGTACTAAAGCAACGCACCGCAAACAAAATATACAATATAGTTACTGAAAAATTACCACCAATTTTGCGTTCAAATTTAGTCCGAGGTGGTTCCGCTCCTGCAGGCCTCTCCAGCGAGGATTCGATGTAAGCTAGCTATATTCTAGCCCTCCGTTCAATCATAATTTCTCTGCATGTAACGTCTAGGTCTGTTCCCATGTTAGCGATTACAATCGGTTTAATTTCGACCGACCAATCATAGAGCGTGGAAGGAGAGTGTTGTATTTAGTTGTGAGTGATGTCAAGAGTTTGCTTCGAACGGGAAGGTTGTAGTTTAGCAATGGCAAAAAATGTGATAGTAAAGTAATCCAGTCTGGTTCTATCAAGAAATTGAAACCGGACCAAGAGGAATGTTTAGCAAATGTAATCCCTGGAAAAATTGTGGCGCTACTCCCCACGGGCTCCGTTAGCGGCAAAGGAGATGGCTAGGCTAAATGCTAACGACAGACTCGGGCGCATTGCATACATCACGGAAAAATCAGATTCTTTTGTTTCAATCTGCAAAAGGAGTTAACCTCTCCCATCTGTAAACGGAGCTCAATGCAGCACCGCCAGACCTTAGTACGTAATGTAATTTGTACTATGGTGTGGTACGACCAGGCTAGCTATATTCACCCGGGCTTGATTTCTTCTTTGATATATATTTTTTGCTTTAGTTCCCTCTTCTCTTCCGCACTTTTGCGTCTTTAGTGCTGTTTTGCTGTGTATGCAGTTACAGCTAGAGGAGGTACAGCCACTTTCTGTGTTTATCCTCTTTCGGCAGGGGACTAGTGTCACGCTGTAGTATTACGCATTTTTATGAACTCAATAGAAAATAAATTAGGTATAGCTCCTTTAAAACATATACATGTAGCTGCTACTTAACGCATTCACTTATTGCAGGTTATTTTTAAACCGTAACCCTAAACAAGTCAACCTGGATACCAAATAGTAAAAATTATAGCGTATTATTTTGAGGCAAGTTAATTCTTACCATCTCCGCAACTCCATAAGTGTGATGTGACAGTGCTCCGGGCCAACTTGATTTGTCTTTGCGTCTTTTCACATATGGCGTCCACATTTCCCTACACGTACATGGAGAGTGCGTCTGCATCATGGGTCCTTTTGGCCTGGGCTAAAAGGACACAGCCTCCATCTGTCTCTGCTGAACGTCTCCTCCAACATTCTGAGCCTGTAAAGTCATCACAGAACAAAGGCTTTTGGCTGCGCTTTCATAGGCCGGGCTGTTATTGATGTAATGTCAATGCAACGGTTTAAAGTAGAATTATATGGAGCACAAACATTCTGCTGTGGAGAGACGGTTCGTCAAGGAGTTTTTATGTAATTTTATCCATTGTGGTTGAAGGAATCTGCAATCAGGCCTATTTTTCACAAATTTAGTCTCTCTTTTTCTCCGCATTCAGTTCAATTGACTTAATTTGACCCAATTTAAAGGCAATTTTTTGGTGTTATCTTGGTCTTTAATCAACAACTATTTTGATGTAGCTGGTCGAATATTTTTTTAATCAATTGATATGATGTTAGTTTTTGAAAGCGTCATGGGTCAAAATGGAATATAGCCAAAATGGGAGACTACAAAAATAAGTGATATCATAAATACAAAAGCAAAATCCAGCAAAAAAGAGCAAAAATACATAAATTAAACAGAGGAAGAAGAACTAAGAGAGACTTTGAAATGATAACAGAACAGGGGGCGAAGGACACACAGTAGTTACACGTTGGGTTGTTTGATTGCAAATACTTTGTAAACACATTTTTATTTCATTCTGCTGTCATTTTGGAATTAATCTGAGTCACGAAACCTCTTTTCAGCGTTTGTCTATAGAAGGTTCAGAAAATGATTATTCAGTTACTAATTTAGTTGACTGATATTTCAATGGACCATTAGTGGCGATGCACAAAGTCCTAAAAATGTACATGTTCTTTAAAAAAAAAATTGTCCACAGTGCAAGTTTTTACACTGAAAAGGACCATAAGTAATATGTAATCGAGTGGTCTCATGAAGTCATTAAAAATACAATTCAAAATTTGTTTGTAGTAGTAATTGCTTGAATCAAGTTTTTATTTTTATTTTATTTTATTTTGAGTACATTCTGACTGTCTCAAAACAGAATTTACCATTGTGACAAAGGGATAATTTTGTTTGTCCCATGGCAAATCTTGTTTTAAGGCGGTCAATATGTGCTCAAATTAAGATTTGGCCAAATTTGAGCAACTTTTTGCAGTGGATGCAACCCACCAGCTGGTGTTTAGCTAGAATCGGTACAAACTGCTTTCACAAATTAAGAGATACTTTCATCTTAACCTTAAGTCTCTGTCTTGTTTTAAACAACACAATTCACAAAAAAGATGGAGCCTTGACCAGCGGAGTTTCAAACAAACTGGCAACACAAATGCACTCTGATTGGATGAAAAATGCAATGAGGTCTACGATGATGTCTACGATAATACCTTTTGTGTTTCATAACTCAAACTTTTGTTGAGAAAAGGTCAACTATAATATATACGTGTGGCCTCTTATCTGGGGACACATAGAAAAGATTCAAGAATTGATTTTCCATTTTCAATAAAACCACATTTGAAAAACTGTGTGAAATTACCCCAGTGTGCACCAGACAGAGAAGAGAGAACACACCAGGGTTCCGGCCATGGCACCATTTCTCTGGTGCCATGTGACAAATAATAGAAACAGCAGAGGGCAGTAACAGATGTAGATGTTATCTACACATTAAAATATGACATACAGGTTTCTTTGTGAAACTAAATAAATGCATTCAATGGAAAGTTTAGAAACTGATTGACCTTGTAAACCTCATTTGACGTTTGTGAGAATACGTTTATTTTACATTTGAGTCACGGCGTTATGTGTTGATGATGTCACTGTTCCATTTGAGGCGTTCTTATATATATTATATATA